GGAGGAGGAGGAGGAGAACGTTGAAGATGCTCCAGCAGAGCAAAAGGGACTTGAAATTGGACAGAATAGAACAAATATAGAAGTTTCAGGAGAAGTATTTGGTGAATGTGATTCTGATGTGAACATTGAGATGGACACAGATAAACAAACCAACACACAAGAAGAAGCCACGACTTCTGTTTCCCCCGAAGATGGCACACAGTTTGATGTTAAAGGCGAGGAAAAGGCACCAAAGGCTGACCCGGGTGCTGGGTCAAAAGAAGAACCTGTCCCAGTGTGTACCATATTCAGCCAAGGTAGCCATCCCAAGTCTCTGGTGCCTGACGGCTTTCAGCCTACGCTGATCAAGTCGCCAAGCTTTAGTATCGGAAGTGGTGGGGGAAGCAATGAGGCCGTGACCCCCAGCAAACTGGCCACCCCACTTGTGTGCCAGCCGAGTCCCAGCCTCAGTAAATTCTTCACTGAAAATGAACACGTTAACCCAGCATCGGACTTCTTTGATTCCTTTACTGTCCCCTCTTCGTTCATCTCTATTTCCAATCCCAATGCAGATGTTCCCCCTGACACTCAGTCTGCACCAACAGTCCCGACACCTGACCGCCCGCTGTCGGTCTCATCGTGCATCTCCTCTGCTGTAGGTTCTCTGGACTCTAGTAACCCCAACACCAGCACAGTTTTTGGCCCAGCTTCTGGTGAAACTACCTCCAGTGCCCAACCGCCTCTGCCCTACATAATCACAGCTCCAACCCAAGCCCCTGTTTCATCTCCGGTCTCGCAGCCTCAAACCTTCAACCAACTTCAAGCTGTATTCTCAGGCAACGACGACCCATTTGCAACTGCACTGAGCCTGAGTGAGGTGGACAGGCGTCACGATGCCTGGCTGCCATCAGAGGAGACGAGGAAGGTTCTGATCTCTGTAGCAACCCAACAGTACAGTCCGTCTTTCGTGGACACCAACAGACTGACCATGCCTGGGCTGAAGTTTGATAACCTGCAGGTAGGACATGTAGTACAATTCCAAACATGTTCCTTCATTAAGTCAATACCTTTTTTTGTAAGTTATGACGTTTCATTTTATGCTTTAAGAAACCTGCAGTAGTTTCACCTGTAATGAGCTAATTAAACTAGCCTCAGATGTCGTAGTAGTAAAATGATCGTGTCTGCAGTTGGTTATGTCAATGAGAAACTGGATAATATGTTAAATTCAGCTCAACATGAATTGTTTGGAGTGACAAAGATCCATGATTATACACTCACCTCATAATACTGTGTTTTATTGTGTCCTGTTGGAATATGTAAACCTTTTCTGTTTTGTTTTATGGATGCAGGGTGATGCTGTAAAAGACCTCATGGTTCGATTCCTTGGAGAGCAGGCAGCCTCAAAGCGCCAAGTTCTTACTGCCAACTCTGTGGAGCAGTCCTTCAATGGCCTGAAACAGCTTATCGTAAGTCACTCTCCCTACCTTTTGGCCAAACTTCTGAACCTTAATTATGTAAACAGAAGAAAAGTGAACG